CAACAGTGTCTTCTGCATCATGATTCTCTTTCTTTGTTTTAATGAAAGTTTGTAACTTAAATTTGTGTTTCTTATAAGAAGAAAAATTATAAATTGCTCTTATTATAGAGTTCATGCAATAGAATTTGGTTAGTAAAAGTGTTGAGACAGACTTGTTGTATCTACTTAGCATTTTTTGTTCATAGTATTTTGGATGTGTTATTAAAAGTGTGAAGATAGCATTTTATTCCTATGGTAAATGGATGCTATATGTGCAATGCTTATGATTTCTTATCTGGAAATGAGCATATTGGGGAGAAGCAATTAACGGATGTCTTAGTTAATTGGTGAAACTTCTTATAAGAAGATGGAGTCCAAAACAGTAAAGGAGCCACGCACAGTTCCAACAATGAGGCACTCATTACCTATTTCCAGTCCAGGCAAGGGATATGACTTACAAATTATTATTTTATTTATTTTGGAACTGCAGAATTGGTTATACTTTAAGTCTTCTTTTAAGTTTAATAAAATTGGTAATATATTTAGGTGTTATTTTTTGGGTGTCCAATTCCTTCCTAAGTTAAGAGTATATATCTTCCCAACATTGAAATTGTAGCGCAGTTGTGACTGGTTGGTAATTTTGTTGCCTTGTCATTTATTGAACCTGCCTTCCTTCCTTTGTGTGGTAACACTTGTCTTGTTGAACATAATCATGCAGATAGTGAAGAAAGAGATCTCGTGAATATTTTGCCTAGTCTCAGTCTAAAGCCTTCCAATCTTCCTGCTCGAGATGCTCCTTGGAAGTGGGTAACTTCTCCTTTTAAGATGTTACATATGTGTATTCTATCATGATTTCAACAACTCATGTTGTGATTTGAATTAGAGTTAATATATTGTTTGGTATTAGAAATTGATCAGAAAAATGTTGCTTGAGAATATGTGTGGTTTTTTGTTTGGTTAACTTAAATCTTCTAGTGGGATCGCTTTTGCATCCTATGTTGATGTTCTGAATGCCCTGTTTTGTCATGGCTGCTGTTTTACATATTTACATATATCAAGTTAATTAAGTGCTCTCAAAAGCTTCATTGATGTTTCTTTCTTTAGGGGAGGCTTCATCCTTGATGCAGCCACACCTGGAGAATTCATTGGTGGGTTAAAGACTACCATGTAATGCCAGGAACCAAGCCAAACAAAAAACATTAGAAACTCAGAGAGAATGAGAGGGGAAATTGACTCTTTCCAACTAACAGGAACAAGACATTTTCATTAAAGACTACCAATAGATTGATAGTGTTCTTATGGTCAACAAAGACAAGAATTCCAGGGCTGCTCAACCGAGCGGCAATACTCTTTAAAGATATTACATTTAACCGTATAGCCGCGCGGCCATACTATTTATTTTTTAAAAAATGAACAAAAAAAAGACCCCTAGTATAGCCGTGTTGCTGTACTATTTATTAAATTAAATTAAATTAAAAAAAGGACCCGGCTCAGAGCACCTCGGCGGCCAATTTTTTTAATTTATTTTTTAGCCGCCATAGCCGCAGCACGGTTATACTCCGTGTGGCTGTACTATTTACTAAAAAAAAAATTTACAAAAAATCCGCAGTAAGAACTAATAGCATGAAAAGCACCATTGCACAACATGATCATAGTAGTTTAGAGGATTATCCATTACTATTAGGCGTACGTGTTGTATTCGACAAAATTTGGCCAAGTTAGAATTGAAAAGTTCGGCCACTATACAATATTTTTAATATAATTTATTGAAATATTTAAATATATATTATTTATATTCTACAATATTTGAAAATTATGTGTACAATACGTGAATTTTGTGCGTATTATTGAAAATTTTGTATAATACACTTGTATTGAACTTCAAGAATACGTAGGTACGTGTACAATATATGTATTGTATGTTTGCTTGTTAAAAAAAACGTGTATTTTACCGAATCTTTAAGATGTGTACAAAAAAGGGAAGTATTATTGAAAAATACGTGTATAATACCAGTATTAAACGGGAAAATGCTAAATTCTTTATACAAGTAATAAAAAATGAAAAGGGGACAATAGAGACTCGAGTAATGGCCTAATAGAAATGGATAATGTTCTAAACTAATCTTGTTGATAAACGAAAAAAAGGGAAAAAAAATTATATATATATAAAAAAGGCACCCAATACATATATATATATATATATATATACACACATACATATTTAAAGAGTGTAGCCAATCGGCTATATTATTTATTAATAAATAAATAAATAAGGGGCCCCAGTACAGTCAGCCAGCTAGCTATACTCTTTGAATAAATAAAGAATATCAACTGTAGGAGACTTAATGGAGCCCAAAGGATACATATCTCCAAGGACACCAAGACTGCTGCTGCCCATTCTATTCATACTCACAGCAAATATTGTCGGGTTGGGGAAAACTTCGAAAGGGTGCTTTAGTTGTCACTTAACCTCAATTGTAGGAGTCTCCTTGGAGTCAGAAGAATCTACATATCTCCAAAAGAATGCCAGACTGCTTCCCATTTATATTCATAATCACAGCAAATAATGCTGCGGGTAATGCAACCATCGGCGAGGTGAAATGAGAAGTGGCCAAAACCACACCCAAAGAAGAATTTTGCATACCAACCTGCGAGTGTCGAACATGTGAATGAAGGATTAGTGTTGCATGCCCACCAAAATTTATGAAAGTTTCGACATTTCAATCTGAGCATAAAACAATGAAGATCTTCTATGGACTTACAATAAAGTTTAAGAAGAGAATTTTTATATCTTTATTACCAATTTGACCAAAGCCGAAACAAAACTGGAACACAAGGATTCACAGAAAGCTAGATCATGTCTTAAAGTTTACATTCTATTTGATTAATACCTCAATTGATATTGCTCGTCTTTGTGCTTCTCTAAACCCGCAAACAACTTCTTATATATACCTGCAAATTAAGACTCTCCCTAATAAAAAAAGACTCCTCAAGTTGCACATTTGCACCGCAAAAACTCCAAAACAAACTAAACAAACAGGCACAGCACCACAACCTTAAAGAATATTTGTATGAGTGCAAACTCTGCCAACAATGCTCGTCTACAAGACTAGTTTCTATCTTCATATGTCAAATTAAAATCCACATAGACAAAGAAGATTGAATATATACTTTCTTACTGCAATAGCTTTTATGGCTATGAAGTCATAATGACAGCAAACTATAGTTTCTCAACTGTTGCTTACAAATTATGAATACTTTGTTTTTTCAAAGTACAGTTAACTTCACTCTATAATTTATATATCAAACTCAACTGAAGCTAAATCAAACAGTAATAATACACTAATACAAGGCTACAATGTAATTTTTTTTAGAATTTTTGAGCTTAAATTAGAGTGAATCTTTACATACTGAAAAAAATTGTGTACATTACCTTGAGCTTTTTCCACAACAACACACTTAACAATTAAAGTCACCAACAGTTAAAGGCAACTTACCCCGCAAAGAAACCAGCAATATGTACTAACAGCACAGAAAGAATAACCACCCCAATTTCTCCAGATAACACTGTCTGAGCATGAGCCATTAGAGACAGATCAGCCTGCAATGTTACAGCAACCATTGAAGCTTTGAGACGGACAACATTCTCAGAGAATACACTGGCCCACAAAATGAAATCTAGTATGTTTGAGAAAGAGAGCACATTTGGAAGGAACCACAGGCAAGACAATCATATTTTACATATAAGTAATTAAAATATATTTATATGCACAACAAATGTACCAGCATGCAAGCAGTGATGCAGCTAGAACAGCGAAAGGTATCACAATTTTAACCACTGCAGGAAATGCACTATGCATATAAGAACCTAACAAATTGGAGCAACAACGACCTACATATGACAGAATAGAGACCATAAGCCCCAGCTGATGGATAATATAATATTACTGAAGTTTATTATATTTAACTTAACCTGCATGGTGCTGATTGACAGTTTGGCAGCATCCACAGGGATGTAAGTCCCTGCCAATATCTTTGTTAGTAGAGGAGGCAGGGCTACTGCCCCAAGAGTTGTGCATACCGTCATTACAATCGACAGAGGAAATGGACTATCTGACCATGCCCCAGGCATTATTCAGTTGAATCACTCAGTGCACCACAACCATAAACCTTAAAAAAGCATTTAATGGAGTTGAATAAATTGCCTAGGCGGCCTAGGCGAGCTAGGCGGGGGCTTGACGAGGGCTAGGGGGCTAGGCGGGCTAGGCGGGGGCTAGGCGAGGGCTAGGCGGGCTAGGCGGTCTAGGCGGGTGCTGGTGCCTAGAAGAAAAAAAAAGGGCCATTTTGGAACTCCAAGGTCTTGGACGAGATGACGATGGTGCTGAGGCGAGAGAGAGAGAGAGAGAGAGAGAGAGAGAAATGAGGATTGAAGAAGAAGAGAGGTTGCGAGTTACGTTTAGGGTTTAGAAAGGGGCCTGGCGGGAGAGAAAGGCCTGGGCTTCATAAAATACAACATTAAATGGATTTTGCATTATGAAATCACTAAAGTAACCACTAATAAGTAACAAATAACAAATAAATATTTTAATATTTTAAATCAAAGAAATATTATACTATTTGTTTAATATATAATTTATATATCCTTTTATTTTTCATGATTTTGGTATAAATTTATAATTTATAATACTAAATAATTTATAAAAAAATGCATAGGCACTCGCATAGACCCCCCATTACTCCTCTAGGCTCTAGGCGCTAGGCCTTTGCCTGCCGCCCCCTTACTGTATAGTGATTTTTCGAACATTGGGATTAACATGTTGGTAAATCGAGGTGTACCAGCACTTCAATTTACAACTTTGCAATTTTAACCGAATCCAATTCCCTTCTGTTTGTGTTCATAATTAACTAAAAATTAGTTGCATTGCATGGCATTTAGATTTAACTTTTCTGGTATAATTTTTCTCAAGACTATAAACAAAGAAGTAGTTTCATCAGTTCTCAATTGATTGTGCAGTGGCTATATGTCTCCGGAGTATGCCATGGGCGGTATGTTTTCTGAAAAATCTGATGGCTACAGCTTCGGGTTCTTGCAATTGGAGATTATTAGTGGCAAAAAGAATACCAACTTCTATTCCAGTGACCAACATATAGGCTTCCTAGCTTATGTAAGCTCACACTCTAAATCTTAATGCAAAATCGTATCTTTCATACAGCTTAAGCAACTATATGAAGCTAAGTGCAGCAGAGTTTAACAATACTGGCCAACATACATGAAATTTTGTTAGGCATGGCACTTATGGAATGAAGGAAGGGGTTTGGAGTTGGTTGATGAAGTATTGGCAGATTCATATTCACCTTCAAAATCTCATGGATTTCTATTTTTGAAACCCAAAGACATTGCATATGCATGGGTCAAGTTTCAGATTGGCAAGCACATGGAATTGTATACAATTATATTGGATTTTTGCCTCAGTTTAGGTGCACATTGATATGCCCTTTTTTTTTCTTCACAAACATGATCCAATTGGTATTTGGTATAACAAACACAAGCAACATATACAAGTTTTGGCATGCAGCTAGCATACCAAATTCACAAAATGTAAGTGGGGATAAAGGGAACCAAGGTCCTAGGAAGGAGTTGTCCAAGAGATGCAACTCCCCACACAAAACTCTCGTCTGGGGACTTGGGGGATTTCTATTTGTGAGGTAAAATGCCTCTCGATGACCGAGCTGAGCTTTTGATGTATGATAGTATCTCTTTACAGATCGAAGAGGACTTGAGAGACTTCTCGGTGTGGAAGCGATGATGCCTTCACTACAAGATCCTGAGCGCTTCAACTTATGGGTAACTTTATATTTCTGCATAGAATACAACGCGGACTAATATATCTCATATATGTAAGAATCAGATGCCTAATATCAAGTACTTAAATTTGAAGGGTGCAAAAGTCAATCGGGATGGTCTTGTCACGTTGATGCGTGGATGCAAAGATTTGGTGATGTTGGATGCCAGAGATTGTTCTTGTTTCGATGAGAACGACGATGAAATATCAAAGATTGCGTCTCATATTAGTCAATTTATGTGCGAGGGTTATGAATTTCCTGAATGTCTTTGTGGTATGGACAATTTTGTTCTTCATGTTGATGGATACTCATTTCATCTGCATGTGGAGGAGACATGGGATGAAATGCTCAATGATTTGCGCAATGCGTTCAATGATTTGGGCGACGAGGAATGAAGAATTATTAATTTGATTGTACTAAGCGATATCTCATCTTTTTTATATTTACAACACTAATGAGCAATTATGTGTGTTGAGTGTGGTGTTCATCGTGTGTTTTTGGACAATGTTACTCTAATGAGGGCTTGTTATAAGTTCCTATCTTGATTTCATAATAAGATGTATGCTTAATTTGGAAAATGGCCATTCTAAATTCCTTCGCAACATTTTTTGTAATATCACATGTGTTCGCGCGCGATTGTTCTTCAGCCTTGCCTCTGCCTCTATTTCTATCTTAACTTTCCCTTCCCACCAAAGGTTTTCCTAGCTAAATTTCTTTGAGGTTTAGGAAAAATTTCGTGGTGAAAGAATGTTGGTTGCACCAGCTTAACAACAGGCACAACCAGTAAAAAAATGAAATAATATGTTATATTTAAGAATGAGATGCTACTTCTCATCTAACACATGTTGTTTGAATTCTCATTTAGAATAGTTCATATATCAATGTCATATGACCTCTGATACCTTCAATTAATTTCAAAATAGAGCTGCAAACTTCCCTTCGCTGTCTCGTTAGATTGTTTTATATCCAATTTTTCAACTAACATATCTGATAGCAGAAGAGCATGGTCGTCAAGTGCAATGAGAAAAAAATGTTGCAATTGGGTTTAGTTCATAATTACAACGGATACATTTTAGAAAGTAAATTGATATACAAGCAATTTTATACTATGAAATTCAAAATTCTTTGATCCACAAAATGTTGGCGGATACCTTTTATTATTATTATTATTATATTATTATTATTCTTGGTATTTATGAGTTTAACTTGTATTATTTGTTAGAAATAAAATTCATTTTTTATTCTTGCCCAAAGGGCTAATAGCTGGAAATCATTATAATGGGAGGTATCATAAAGAATTTAAATTCTCATTCCCCAATATCGCTTGTATAAATAAAATAATTGAAGAAATAACTCTAGCCCACCCTAAACCCTAAAATGATATGACAAAATTGTATATTTAAAATGTTATAGCCTCACGGCTGTACTTTCTAAAATATTCGGATATTTTAAAAGTATAGCCGTTTGGCTATACTCTTTAAAATATTCTAATATTTTAAAAATATAGCCGCACGGCTATACTCTTTGAATATAATCCAAACGAACACGAAGCTTGCACTCGCAGAGGGCGGAGGTTGCAGACCCAGTCACAGCCATTTCGCTTCGATTTTCAGTTTCGACTGCTTCGTCCTCCTGGTTCGACACCAAAAAAGACCCAACCCTAGGAGCCCGCCCAGCCGCCTAGCTCCCCGCCCAGCCGCCTAGCTCCCGCCTAGCCGCCTAGCGCCCGCCTAGCCACCTAGCGCCTAGGCCGATTTTCCGAACACTGCGATTGACTGAAAGTCTGAAACCCGAAATTGAAGAAGTTTAGCTGCAAATTTGAGAAATATGGTTCCTCTTGGTTAGCAGAATTCAAAGAAATATGGTTCCAGTGGCCATCTAGTAGATGCAACTTTGCCCGCTACTGAAGTCAAATAATCAGAAGTATAAGGAATGGTACAAATAATCTTCACTATTGTTATCAACAGTGTCTTCTGCATCATGATTCTCTTTCTTTGTTTTAATGAAAGTTTGTAACTTAAATTTGTGTTTCTTATAAAAGAAAAATTATAAATTGCTCTTATTATAGAGTTCATGCAATAGAATTTGGTTAGTAAAAGTGTTGAGACAGACTTGTTGTATCTACTCAGCATTTTTTGTTCATAGTATTTTGGATGTGTTATTAAAAGTGTGAAGATAGCATTTTATTCCTATGGTAAATGGATGCTATATGTGCAATGCTTATGATTTCTTATCTCAGTTATAGGAGAAACAAAGACTTCCGTAGCTTCTGGAAATGAGCATATTGGGGAGAAGCAATTAACGGATGTCTTAGTTAATTGGTGAAACTTCTTATAGAAGATGGAGTCCAAAACAGTAAAGGAGCCACGCACAGTTCCAACAATGAGGCACTCATTACCTATTTCCCAGTCCAGGCAAGGGATATGACTTACAAATTATTATTTTATTTATTTTGGAACTGCAGAATTGGTTATACTTCTTTTAAGTTTAATAAAATTGGTAATATATTTAGGTGTTATTTTTTGGGTGTCCAATTCTTTCCTAAGTTAAGAGTATATATCTTCCCAACATTGAAATTGTAGCGCAGTTGTGACTGGTTGGTAATTTTGTTGCCTTGTCATTTATTGAACCTGCCTTCCTTCCTTTGTGTGGTAACACTTGTCTTGTTGAACCTAATCATGCAGATAGTGAAGAAAGAGATCTCGTGAATATTTTGCCTAGTCTCAGTCTAAAGCCTTCGAATCTTCCTGCTCGAGATGCTCCTTGGAAGTGGGTAACTTCTCCTTTTAAGATGTTACATGTGTGTATTCTATCATGATTTCAACAACTCATGTTGTGATTTGAATTAGAGTTAATATATTGTTTGGTATTAGAAGTTGATCAGAAAAATGTTGCTTGAGAATATGTGTGGTTTTTTGTTTGGTTAACTTAAATCTTCTAGTGGGATCGCTTTTGCATCCTATGTTGATGTTCTGAATGCCCTGTTTTGTCATGGCTGCTGTTTTACATATTTACATATAACAAGTTAATTAAGTGCTTTCAAAAGCTTCATTGATGTTTTTTAAAAAAAAAAAAAAAAAAAAAAAAAAAAAAAAAAAAAAAAAAAAAAAAAAAAAAAAAAAAAAAAAAAAAAAAAAAAAAAAAAAAAAAAAAAAAAAAAAAAAAAAAAAAAAAAAAAAAAAAAAAAAAAAAAAAAAAAAAAAAAAAAAAAAAAAAAAAAAAAAAAAAAAAAAAAAAAAAAAAAAAAAAAAAAAAAAAAAAAAAAAAAAAAAAAAAAAAAAAAAAAAAAAAAAAAAAAAAAAAAAAAAAAAAAAAAAAAAAAAAAAAAAAAAAAAAAAAAAAAAAAAAAAAAAAAAAAAAAAAAAAAAAAAAAAAAAAAAAAAAAAAAAAAAAAAAAAAAAAAAAAAAAAAAAAAAAAAAAAAAAAAAAAAAAAAAAAAAAAAAAAAAAAATCCTTGTTAGGGTTTGAAATTGTTGAAAGGCATCATTGCAGTCAAATGCAGTTGACGAATGTGTTCCTTTAAGAGCATCTCCGAGGGAGATGTCAAATACCAAACATCGAATTTAAATTTGATGGCGATGTGGCAATTTGACATCTTACACAGCTTTACACTCACCCGATAAGTCAAATTAAATTATATTTATTTATTTTAGTGTTGATTCATTTTTAGTTAAAAAGAAAAGAAAAAATAATAATAAAATATTCATTTGACATATTCTGCTTGGGGATGTCAAAAATAAACATATCAACCTCCAGCCTTCCATTCCACATCAGCTTGACACATCGGTTGAGTGGATATGAGATGTTATTTATAGCTGTTAAATGTCTATGTGGCACGTTTGACACATCGGTGGAGAGCTCTAAGCAGCATTTCAAGTTGACATTTTGAAGCTTCTTTTGGAATGTTGTTTTGAATATGGATGATGTATCCTTTGTTTTACAAAATTAATGGCTGAATGAATTGGATTGGGTATGTATTGGACTTCAAACTAATACAAAGAGATCAGATTCTTCTGCTTTCTTCTTCTCTCTTAAAAAAGTAATGATGTCATCACTTGGGGAATGGCAATTCTCGAGCAACATCAAATTAATTGATCTTCATAATTGCATATTATACCAACTACTGAGGGTTGAAATTACACCCACCACCACACACACACACATGGCTTTTTTTTCACAATATCCATGGCATTCGCCCTCTTTTGATAAGCCATATTAAAAGAGTACAGCCGAGCGGTTATACTCCATTTTTAAAAAAAATTCCTGAAATTAATAGTATAGCCGGGCGGCGATAATCCGTTTAAATTTTTTTTATTCCCATGAATAGTACAGCCCGGCGGCTATACTGTTCAAATATAAAACTTAGGTCAGATATCTTCTTCCCAGCGTCGCCTTCTCCTTCCTCTCTCTGTCTGATCTCTCTCTCTCTCTCTCTCCGTCTTTCTTCCCTAACAAGAAGCGGATCCTGCGCCACTTCAACCGCCGTTCGTCCACATCTCAATGGCAAAACGCCCACCCAGACCCTCCTAGGCGCCTAGAGCCGCCTAGAGCCGCCTAGACCCTCCTAGAGCGGCCTAGGCGGGCGCCCATACCCCGCCTAGCTCCCTGGCGCCTACCCCGGATGCCACATCCTGGAAGGGTACCTCTTGGTGTACCGGAAACTGACTTAAGTTAGTTCGAAATTGAAAGATAATGAGCTTTTGGTTGGCGTGGAATTAGGATTACACTGTTTTCAGTCATATGGCAGGTCATAGGAAGGGTCCTAGTCTGATGATCTTGTACTGAAATACTAGGTTAAACTAACCTTAGGCCGTTTCACTTGATTTTGTTCCAACTCCTGCATTTAAACATGTATTTGCTTATTGTTCATATACCGTCTGCCATATATGTTTGGATTGGTAAGAATTGTGAGGCCATCATGGAAAGGGATGCAAGAGGGGCTGTTTGTCAGATTGTTCGGTATGAGAGAGTGCAAGGTCCAATAACTATAATCAAGGAAGGGGAAGAACCAGCTTACTCTTGGGATGCTTTCTCAAACATTTTTCCATTGATGGATAAGTCTGGAAATGGAGGGGAGGTTGGGGAATCAACAGTTAAGATTCATCCAGGTGAAAGGAAAACAGACGGATATAATGTTGATTTTGAAATTTTCCAGAAAGCTATTAGGGGTAGTTTTGTACCTCCATTTGCATCCTCCGAGAATGAACACGAAACCCATCTTCCTGCTAGAGAGAGTAGCTGGAGTATGCTCAGGCGTAAGTTTGCCTCTGGCAATATGAAGGAGTTTGTCTTAGCACCCAGGATATCCCTCTCCAGGGTCTATTCAGATTCTATGATGTTAGTTCATACAGCTAAAATAATTCATCAGCGTCCTTCATCTTCATCGTCCTCCTCTTCTTCACCTCTATATCTATCACCAGATTCCATATCTTCTGAATCAAGCACTAGTTCGAAGTACTTTCAGAATCCTCTATGGATTCTCCCATCAGCAGCTTCATGCTCTCTTCCAGTCTCTTCAACATTGTCAAATGATTCTGACATGTCTCTCCTCTCATCTAAATCTTCTGATCAACCCATGTCTAATAGTCCAGAAAACGTTGTTTCCAATTGTAGTTCACAGTCCTATTCTCGATCAACCTCATTACCATCCAAAAAGTTATCTCCTCTTGCAGAGCGCAGAGGTAGTTTGTCTCTCAAGTTGCCTGTGATGAGTGATAAGATGAGGTTGATGAGTACTTCCTCAAAATTTCTTTCCACTAAAGAAGATGGTGTTAGGATAAATGACAGTACTTGTTCTGTAGGTCACATAGATGATATTGACAAGGTATTAGAGCCAAAGGATGGTGTTCAAAAGGGAGGAGAATATTCAAGACAACAGTGCAACATATGCCAGAAGGAACCTTCTTTTATCAAACATTCTGCTGAACCTTGGAAAAATTTCCCTTTGGAAGAAGGTGCAGGATCATCTGCCTCAAAGGAGACTGGGGAAAGTTGTCCAGCACAATGTAATTTTATGCAACCTTTTGTATGCCGCTGGCCCAGTTTAGAGAAGATTGCTACATTTGGTGTGAGGGAACTAGATTCTAAATCTTCTTTCACTATTTACTCACCAAATACAGGTGTTGGAAAAAGTGAAAGACAGTGTTTTGTATCTTTGGGTAGGAAGATTTTTCACTGTGGTAATTTTCCGATTCAATTAGATAGTGGCAGAGAGAGAACTGATGTAGAAGAGACTGACTGGGATATAAATTTGAGTTTACTTCGACCTATTTCTTAATTTCATAATATTTTTGGTGCTTGTGTTTTTAGGGCTCGGTTAATGGAGCTTGTTGTAAATTTAGTCTGTTTGCTGTAAGGTTTCTGTTACTATCTTCTATATCCATTCCTACTATTTTGCATCTCAAGGGATTTGACTTGTGATTGTTGAGTTACTTGACAGCTGTCAGTGTTTTTTTGGTGGAGTTTGTCATCTGTAATTGTTTGCTGTTGGAGTTTAGATTTATTGTGTAACTTATTTTGTTACCAAACTCAGCAGTGACCAGTTATATTTCTGGAAGTACTAATGTGTTCATTTATGGCTTGTTGGGGTTTAAGGTATCTATGTCGATTTCTTTGTGTTCATTCATTCTGTATTTCTTCAAAGTATCACTTTCAATTGGATTAAAGCTTGTCAATTGTTGGTAAATCTGACAAGGTTTCTAACTGTGACCACTGAATGCTGTATCTGAACAGATTGTTAAAGAAAATGAAGAACCAGTGGAGTTTCTCGAATTGTTGAGTCTATTGTAGTGCCAGTGCAAATGAGGAGAGATCTATAGTCCCATTGCTCAAATCAATTTTCGGTTTCTTCACATGGCTTAATTGCAGTCCAACATTTTCAGGCATCAGGATAAACTCCAGTGGCAAAAACCATTGAGGTAATGAAGTTGATGGTAACCATTGTTGAACTAATTTCCTCCATGTATGTGACATGCTGGTGCACTATTTTTAGGAACTGCGAGGGGATAGTAACTCTAGATGGCTATTCTGTTTAGACAAATTCACCGGTTATCAAGATGCCACATCCTGGAAGGGTACGTACCGGAGTTGGAAAGATAATGAGCTTTGGTTGTTAGGATTACACTGTTTAACGTCATGTGGCAGGTCACTAGTGAATCAACCTTCCTAGTCTGATGATCTTGTACTGAAATACTAACTAATAGGGTGCATGCAACCTTAGGCCATTTCACTTGATTTTGTTCCATCTCCTGCATTTAAACATGTTTTTGCGTATGCACTTTTTATCTTTGAAGTTGCTGAATCACTTGCTATGGAACCAGACCTTATTTGCTATTATTTTGGGCCAGCTGCAGTAGGTGCCCCTTGAAAAGTCTATTAATGTCTCCATTTATATTAAAAATCCCCAATTAGAAGTGAATTTTGATTGGATGGTAGTGTCTGATACTGCTAGCAAATCATCAAAACCGAAACCAAGTAATATAGAAAGAGCTGAGGTAAATGAATTGAGAAATGCTAACGTTGTCTTGGAAAAGTTTCCATTTGAAAATGCTTCATAATATTTTCCTTGATGTCATCTTTCCTCAGTAAATTAAAAAAAAAGATAGATCAAATAAGGATTTTGAATAGCTGGGTCCATATTAATTCCAATCAGGATTGTTGACCTTTATTTTCCTTGACAAGTCTTTACTTTGCTGTGTTCTTCAAATCCTGACATAATGTGTTTTGGACTTTACTGTGTACAGGAGGAGGAATGATGCTGGTCTCTAACTGCACTACTACAAAAATCGAAATAGACGACGGGAAACCACCGTCGTGTAAAAGGTTTTCGCCCAGTCGTGAAATCGATTGCCGTCTATTTGGGTTTCAAACTACGACGGCTTTTCACCGTCGTTGTTTATCAGTAAAGATGACGGTTTTTAAAGAAAATCGTCGTTGTTTAGAGGTAAAGATCGTTAATTATAGGAGGAAAGACGACTGTTTTTAATAAAACCGTCGTGTATTGTATGTAAAGATGACGATTTTTTTATGAAAACCGTCGTGGATTGTTTATAAAGACGTCATCTTTACATACAATAGACGACCTTTTTTTATAAAAAGCGTCATCTTTACATACAATAGACGACGGTTTTTATAAAAAGCGTCATCTTTACATACAATCGACGACGGTTTTTTATAAAAAGCGTCATCTTTACGTACAATAGACGACGGTTTTTTTATAAAAAGCGTCATCTTTACGTACAATAGACGACGGTTTTTTATAAAAAGCGTCATCTTTACGTACAATAGACGACGTTTTTTTTATAAAAAGCGTCATCTTTACGTACAATAGACGACGGTTTTTTTATAAAAAGCGTCATCTTTACGTATAATAGACGACGGTTTTATAAAAAGCGTCATCTTTACATACAATAGACGACGGTTTTTATAAAAAGCGTCCTCTTTACATACAATAGACGACGGTTTTTATAAAAAAGCGTCATCTTTACGTACAATAATGCTTTTTGATTTCCTATGATGCTATACAACGATTTTAACTAGAAAACCAACCATAATGCTTTATCAAAAATAGTTTCTTTCATAAAACTTGAAGATTCAATAGTTATTACATAGTTAACCAATCTTTATTCTACAACAAACATAATTCCTAACAAGACCTACGTACTCCTAATCCAAGCATTCCTCATCCAAACATACAAATGATGCACAACTGAAGTCTCCTCCATCATCCCTGTAAATAAATCAAAATGACAAAGAGAGAAAAAAAAAGAAGCTAAGATTATAAACATAAAAAATTAGGTGGAAGAGAAATTTTACCATTGGTCCATATTTCCATAGAAAACTTGTAAAATGAGCATAAAAAAGACCATCGAGAACCTGCAAATTTTCAACAACAAAAAAACATACGTCTCACATAGAAAACCTGCAAAAGAAAAAGTTATAAATCTGCAAGCTTCCTCCTCATCTCCTGATAACCAAATCAGAAAATCTAAAAAGAAACCAGAAATAAAAAAAAATATGTAAACAAATCAGACAAATCAAGAAGACAAAATCTGAAATTAGGGATACAAAGAACATACCAAAAACGCAAAGAGACTAATCCAGAATTCACTAGCAAGATATAGAAGGGTATTAAGAGATTAGGTGACTTTCAAATCAACCTTTCAACCAGCTTTGATTCTCAAATACAGAACATCCCTCTACATCTTATGGATTTGCTAAGACCTCAATCTCTCAACTCCTTCATTGATATCGATCTTTTGATGATTTTGTAGAGAGTTTTATGAGGGTGTTTTAGAGAGTGCATGAGGGTTTCAAGGAGGGAGAGATAAGGTTTTCAGAGACGGGGGAAAATCTGAAAATTTGACAAGCGCGAATTCACTTAAGTAGACTTTTTTTAGCGTGTTTTAAAAGACGACGCTTGTTAATGAGAGATAAGATTTTCAAAGACGGGTGAAAATTTGAAAATTTATCGAGCGCGAATTCACTTAAGCGGCCATTTTTTAGCGCGTTTTAAAAGACGACGCTTTTTTTTAAAAAAAATTTGTCATCTTTACATATAATATACGACGGTTTTTTTATAAAAAGCGTCATCTTTACATATAATAGACGACGGTTTTTATAAAAAGCGTCATCTTTACATACAATAGACGACGGTTTTTTATAAAAAGCGTCATCTTTACGTACAATAGACGACGGTTTTTATAAAAAACGTCATCTTTACATACAATAGACGTTTTTTTCCACTACACTTCTTGACCCTATATGAATACAATGACTGAATTTGATCTTCAATTTAAAATATTTACACTAGTGGATACCACAAAATCTTATGTTATATTTAACGAAAGTATAAATAAACTCTTAATTGTTAGTGAATATTTTTTTTTATGGCATACGCATTTTAAGAAACTAGTTTCAACGATCCAACCGTCAAACTTGTTTGTTTATACTTCGAGATCATCTACACCAAAAATCGAAAAAAATAAACATTCAGAGATAAAGTAACGGGACAAAAAATTTCGACGGTTATAAATGAAAAATCATGATTTAACGGTTATTTTAACTCCGATTTTGATGATTTTTTACCGCTACACTCCTTGACCCAATATGAATACAATGATTGAATTTGATCTTCAATTTAAAATATTTACACTAGTGGATACCACAAAATCTTATGTCATATTTAACGAAAGTATAAATAAACTCTTCATTGTTAGTGAATATATTGTTTTGATGGCATACGCATTCTAAGAAACTAGTTTCAATGATCCAACCGTCAAACGTGTTTGTTTATACTTCGAGATCATATACGCCAAAAATCGGAAAAAATAAACATTCAGAGATCAAGTAACGGGACAAAAAATTTCGACGGTTATAAATGAAAAATCATGATTTAACGGTTATTTTAACTCCGATTTTGATGATTTTTTACCGCTACACTCCTTGACCCTATATGAATACAATGACTGAATTTGATCTTCAATTTAAAATATTTACACTAGTGGATACCACAAAATCTTATGTTATATTTAACGAAAGTATAAATAAACTCTTAATTGTTAGTGAATATATTGTTTTGATGGCATACGCATTCTAAGAAACTAGTTTCAACGATCCAACCGTCAAACTTGTTTGTTTATACTTCGAGATCATCTACACCAAAAATCGAAAAAAATAAACATTCAAAGATAAAGTAACGGGACAAAAAATTTCGACGGTTATAAATGAAAAATCATGATTTAACGGTTATTATAACAAACCATCATCTTTACATATAATAGACGACCATTTTTTATAAAAAAACGTCATCTTTATATATAATAGACGACCCTTTTTTTAAAAAAAAATTGTCATCTTTATATATAATAGACGACGGTTTTTATAAAAAGCGTCATCTTTACATATAATAGACGACGGTTTTTTTATAAAAAGCGTCATCTTTACATATAATAGACGACGGTTTTTTTCGGTTTTTATAAAAAGCGTCATCTTTACATACAATAGACGACGGTTTTTTCGGTTTTTTTATAAAAAGCGTCATCTTTACATATAATAGACGACGGTTTTATAAAATCGTCATCTTTACATATAATAGACGACGGTTTTAAAAAAAATCGTCATCTTTACACATAATAGACGACGGTTTTAAAAAAATCGTCATCTTTACATATAATAGACGACGGTTTGTAATAAAAATCGTCGTCTTTACATATAATAGACGACGGTTTTATAAATCGTCATCTTTACATATAATAGACGACGGTTTTAAAAAATCGTCATCTTTACATATAATAGACGACGGTTTTTAAAAAATCGTCATCTTTACATATAATAGACGACGGTTTTAATAAAATCGTCGTCTTTACATATAATAGACGACGGTTTTATAAAATCGTCATCTTTACATATAATAGACGACGGTTTTTATAAAAATCATCATCTTTACACATAATAGACGACGGTTTTTATAAAAATTGTCATCTTTACATATAATAGACGACGTTTTTTTTTATTTTTATAAAAAGCGTCATCTTTACATATAGTATGACGTATGATAACAAAATCAAAGAAATAAATTGATAAAAAAAATTCGTATTAAGACGACGGTTTAAATATAAGGTATGACGTATAAAGGGAATAAATACGACGTTAAATTTTATAATACGTCGTTAAATGAAAAACAAACGTGGTGAGATTTAAAGATACCGTCGTAGAACTATACAAGAAAGACGTCGATATATTTTTATTTTCCGTCGTTGTACATTAATTTAATACGGCGATATTTTGTATTTTACCGCCGTGGATTTATTTGTAATTATATGGCGCCTTATACGAAAACTTGGTCGTGTTATTTTCTGCGTAAAAACGGCGGCTTTTTTTGAAATCGTCGTCTTTACTTTCTACGTCGGTCGATTCATAACTTCTGCCGTTCTTTATTTGCTTTGATTTTACACTGCGGAAATCCTGTTTCAAATAGACGTCGGTTTTTTAATTAGGTACGTCGTTGTTTATGAACAACCATTTGAATCTCCATTTTTTAGGTGTCTAAGGTGTTATTATACGGCGGTTTTATAGAACCGTCGTCTTTTAAAAAACAATGACGGTTTTCACTTAGACCGTCGTTTTTTTCTGGTCGTCTTTGTCACTTTTTGTAGTAGTGCTGCCTTGTTGCTAATCAACTGGTTGTACAGTGCTGTAACACACTGGTAACTCATAATCAGATTTTTCTTGTATATTCACTAATACAAGGACCAATTCCTGAATGCCTTTTCAGGCCAAGCAATTTATATTAAACGTTCCATTCTTAATGCTCTCTCTCTCTCTCTCTCTCTCTCTCTCTCTCTCTCTCTCTCTCTCTCTCCTCTCTCTCTCTCTCTCTCTCTCATGATGTACGCGGGCTTAGATTTCAATAGCATTCCCAACTTAAAAAGAATGATAAGTGAAAATGGTTGTAAGTTGTAACAATTTGATTCCTTTGAGCACTCTAATCTAAATCAGGGAGAATATTTGATTAATCAGTTTTGTCTGGGTTTGTGAATGGATTTGTTCAATACAAATTATAACTAAATTGAGCTATTAAGATCCATGTTTAGTGAGTCCAAGATCAAAATCCCAGTCATATGAATGAAATGAATCTTATAACCCAGCTAGTTGTTCTCGTCTATACGGATTATCATTTGTGAAATAAGGAATTCTCATCTTCAAAAGCAGCCTTATAATGATCTATTAATCACGTAATTAAAGATAAATCCTGAAACAGAGGATGATAATTAATGAGATAAAAACAACAATCCTAGTTGTGGGGTAAATATATTATCCATCAACCGGTATTCACGACCAGTTCACTTCAGGCTTTTCTAATAAAATTATTGATCAGTCTTCTTGACGGCATCAATGGCAATCACCAAAATTAAGTACATGTAAAAAGGCCACAAAGTTATGTTTGCTGAAGGGGGAAAGCACTTTTGTGGATTTGCTTTTTAGTCTTGTCTTTTGCCTCTAGGCATTGCCACTAAACTTGTGGATGACATGGGTGGAAGCTTAGTCAAACTTTACAAGAGCATTGAAAATCTCAGTGACACATACTACAACCTGCTACTAACAAGGACGAGGCCTTGCTGAAACCTACGACACTTTCTGCTGGAGCTAATGTCCTTCGGATTTTGACCAACGATGATCCAAAGGCCCGCCGAACAGTTCTGTTGTGTGACCAGTTGCTGATATGTCTCAGACAACCCTAAGCTATTTGTCCACGCTGCAGAGGAACTATAGTCCCGCAAGATGTATATTGCTTCACCAGAACTATAAGGCGACCCTTGAGATGACAAAAAGAAATTGGAAATGTAGCCTAGTTGATGGAAATGTTATATTGGTAATAAAGACATTTATTCACCCATCTGTAAACTATATTCCCTATATAGGTAATGACAGATTTGTACCTGTAGGGTTGGCTTTGTGGTCGACTAATGCAGGGTCCAAGGTGACCCCTCCTACTTCATGATCCATTCACCATTCCATCCAAGCCTATAAATTGGTCTTTTTTTAAATGCTTAAGCATATGCTGCCCTCCTCTGTCCTCAATATTGCCTGAATGGCTACCACCAACAGCGCTACTGTGAGTTTGAAGCTCCTGATTGACACAAAAAGCAACAAAGTTCTGTTTGCTGAAGCAAGCAAGGAAGTTGTGGATTTTCTCTTCACTCTTCTGTCCTTGCATGTTGCAACTGTGACTAGGCTCCTCCTCTCTAATGGTGTGGTATGGTTGGTTGCTTAGGAAAACTTTACGAGAGCCTCGAAAATCTCAGTGACACATACATGCAACCCAATCTTAACAAAGACTACCTGCTGAAACCCAAGACAACAATTTGTGGCGCTAACATCCTTCATTTGGCAGCCAACAATGACTCGAATGCGCCTAAACTGTTCTACCTCTGCAAATTGCAAGCGCCATATTTCTGATAGTCCTGTAACAACTTGTCCAACGTGCATTTCACTCAAAATATCCACCCAGGTGTTTTATGTTGCTCCTCCACCAGAACCTACTGGAGTGACGTCTGGCAATATTAAGAGCGGATACGTCAAGAGCGACATTATGTACATGATAATGATGATTTGGAAAGTGAAGCCTATGTCTACTGTATCAAGTATCACATTGCTTAAAGCGTTGAACTTTAAGACGATTGATGCTTTTGAAGAGAAGGTGGTTGATCTTGACATTGAAGAGGTTTGATCTCTTTTGTGAAAATTTGTTTTGTTTACAATAAATAGTGTTCTATCTGTGTGATTGATACTACATATTTTGTTTGTTTTTGCTTCTTAGGGTTTGAAGTTGGTGAAGGCATCATTGGAGTCAAAAACCGCTCTTACAAATGTTTTCCTTGGTAATAAAGTGCATGAAGGTTTCAACTTTGGTCCTCTAAAGAAATTGAGCTTTTGGAGGTTCATTTTAGTTTGTGGATTGACATTGACTGCATTGGCTTACATTGGATTATTTCAACTTTGGCCCTCTGATCTTATTGGTAACAAATATTATACCACAAGATATGGTAAAAACGACCCAACAAGTCCAAGGAAACCAATCTGCTTTCCCAATGATCCTTTTGCACTGTCGTTGATACAAAAATGAACAAGGAGAGCCGATCGTGCGGCTGAAGTAAACTTGCTCATCTACACTGCTCCGCAGGGATAAATGTGGACTTTATGAAGCACTGATTCTCTAAGGCTTTTGCACTGTTTTGTTTTTGGTTTTTCTGTTGATTTTATGTTTTGGGCCTCCATTTCTTAGTTTCTTTTCGGCATGATCAAATCTCAAACCAGTTGGCAGGAGACCAACTTTTATAACAGTTCTCTGTTTTTTTTTCCATTTGGGCAGTTCTCTGTCCTCTTTGCACAAAGAGTTACAAGCAAGCAAATAAGTTGTTGATTTTCTTTTCACTCTTCTGTCTTTGCATATTGGTGGTTAACAATTGCATGAAACCTATGGTTAACTAACACGGACACCTTGCAACTCAAACCCTTGTCATGTCACACAAATTCTTACTTCAATTTCTAAACACATCAAATGTAGTTTTGTTTCTAAAGTGGCAGTTTGCAAGCTTATAAAAGCTTTTTGATGCCTTGCATTACAGCTCCTCCTATTTTTCACACCAGATTAATCCATACTCACGCGTACGTGTGACAAAATTACATGTTCTAGTGATCTATTATCTTCTCTCTCTTTACCTATCAAATTTCTCTCCTCTTACTTGATCTATGAAGTTCATCATCCATTCCAAAGAATAAACTCATCCATGTAATTTATGGATCAGTCTTCTTGACGTCATCAATGGCAATCACCAAAAACAAGGTGAAACTCCTAGTCCATGGAAAAAAGCCACGAAATTCTGTTTGCTGAAAGGAGCATATATAGACCTGTCAGTTGGCTTTTTCACTGTCTTTTGCCTCTGAACTAGTAAAGTCTGAAGATACAATACAACTAATATGAAAAAGCAAATACTAAACAAAACGAATTGTAAATCTAGCTGTTGGTTTGAAGCTTGAAGCTTCTGATTGACACAGAAAAAAGTTCTCTTCGCCGAATATGGCAAGCATTTTGTTGATTTTCTCTTCACCCTTCTGTGTCTACCTGTCGGCACTGTGATCGGGCTCCTCTCTAGAAAACGCAAGGTCGGTTGTTTAGGCAAACTCCACGGCAGCTTACAAAACTTAAACGTCACATACTTGCAACCCAACCTCAACAAGGATGTCCTTTTAAAACCTAAGAAGCTGCCAATGCCAATTGGTGGCGCCCATCAACTTCTTCCTGCTTGACCGACAGTGAATCAAACAGTAAAAAGTTGTACACATGTCGGTCATGTCAGCCGTCAAGCTACTCCTACTCTAGCGAGGTATGCTATGTGGCTGACGACCCTAAGGCCATTTGTCCAAAGTGCCATAACTTCATTTCCAAACCCATGACTTATGTTGCTCGGCTGACAGTTGCAGCCGGCGGCAAGGGAGGTGGGTTTGTGAGAGAAGCTGTGACTTAATTACATGATAACGGATGATATGGAAGTGAAGCCTATGTCTGCCATTTCAAGTATCGCTCTGCTTAAAAACTTCGATGTTAGGGATGTTCGTTCACTTGAAGAGATTGTGGTTCCTCTCGATAAGGATAAGGTTTGTGTTTATTAATTTTTTCCAACGTGATGAATTACCATTCTATATATTCAAATATTGGACTTGATATTCTATAAGAATTTATGATGAAGAGCATTTTTGTTTAATTTCCTTGTTAGGGTTTGAAATTGTTGAAAGGCATCGTTGCAGTCAAATGAAGTTATGACAAATGTGTTCCTTTAAGCAACATTTCAAGTTGACATTTTGAAGCTTCTTTTGGAATGTTTGGTTTTGAATATGGATGATGTATCCTTTGTTTTACAAAATTAATTGGCTGAATTGGTTAAATATAATATATAAAAATAGTATGACCACGCTTTTATACTCCGTGTGTTTTTTTTCTTCAAATTAATATTATAGCCGCGCGGCTATACTTATCAAATATAAAAATTAGGCCATATATCTTCTTCTTCTTCCCAGCGTCGCCTTCTCCTTCCTCTCTCTGTCTGTCTGCCTGTCTCTCTCTCTCTCTCTCTCTCTCCGTCTTTCTTCCTAACAAGCAGCGAATCCTGCGCACTTCAACCGCCCTTCGTCCAAGCCTCAACGGCAAAACGCCCGCCCAGACCTCCTAGAGCCGCCTAGGTCCGCCTAGAGCCGCCTAGACCTTCTTTGAGTGCCTAGAGCCTCCAAGAGCCGCCTAGAGCAGCCTAGACCCTCCTAGGGCCGCCTAGAGCCTCCTGGGCGGGCGCCCAGACGCCGCCTAGCTCCCTGGCGCCTACCCCTGGATGCCACATCCTGAAAGGGTACCTCTTGGTGTATCGGAACTGACTGAAGTTGGTTCGAAATTGAAAGATAATGAGCTTTTGGTTGGCGTGGAATTAAGATTACACTGTTTTCGCAGTCATGTGGCAGGTCACTGGTGAATCAACCTTCCTAGTCTGATGATCTTGTACTGAAATACTAACTAATAGGGTGCATGCAACCTTAGGTCATTTCACTTGATTTTGTTCCATCTCCTGCATTTAAACGTGTTTTTGCTTATGCATTTTTTATCTTTGAAGTTGCTAAGTCACTTCCTATATGGAACCAGACATTATTTGCTATTATTTGGGGCCAGCTGCAGTAGGTGCCCCTTGAAAAGTCTATTAATGTCTCCATTTATATTAAAAATCCCCAATTAAAAGTGAATTTTGATTGGATGGTAGTGTCTGATACTGCTAGCAAATCATCAAAACCGAAACCAAGTAATATAAAAAGAGTTGAGGTAAATGAATTGAGAAATGCTAGCGTTGTCTTGGAAAAAGTTCCATTTGAAAATGCTTCATAATATTTTCCTTGATGTCATCTTTCCTAAGTAAAAAAAAAAAAAAAAAAAAAAAAAAGAGAGTTTTCAAATAAGGATTTTGAATAGCTGGGTCCATATTAATTCCAATCTGGATTGTTGACCTTTATTTTCCCTGACGAGTCTTTACTTTGCTGTGTTCTTCAAATCCTGACATAATGAGTTTTGGACTTTGCTGTGTACAGGAGGAGGAGGAGGATGATGCTGGTCTCTAACTGCCTTGTTGCTAATCAACTGGTTGTACAGTGCTGTAACGCCCTGGTAACTCATAATCAGATTCTTCTTGTATATTCACTAATACAAGGACCAATTCAGGCCAAGCAATTTAAATTAAACGTTTCATTCTTAGTGCTCTCTCTCTCTCTCTCTCTCTCATGATGTACGCAGGCTTATATTTCAATAGCATTCCCAACTTAAAAAGAATGATAAGTACATATTTTAAATTACAATTTTTTTGGTGGAAATAAATAAATACATATTTATTCATTCATCTGTAGATTATATTCCCTATGTATAGGTAATGACAGATTTGTATATGTAGAGTTGCTTTGTGGTCGACTGATGATGCAGAGTCTCCAAGGTGACCCTCCACCTTCTTGATCCATTCACCATTGCCATTTTTGAATAATTTTGAATTTAGGATACTTCTTGCATGTATTTACGACCAGTTCACTTCAGGCTGTTCTAATAAAATTATCAACCATTCTTCTTGACGGCATCAATGGCAATCACCAAGATTAAGTACATGTAAAAAGGCCACAAAGTTCTGTTTGATGAAGGGGGAAGCACTTTTGTGGATTTGCTTTTAGTCTCGCCTTTTGTTTCTAGGCATTGCCACTAAACTTGTCTCGAACAAGGATGACATGGGTGGTAGCTTAGTCAAACTTTACAAGAGCATTGAAAATCTCAGTGACACATACATACAACCTGCTACTAACAAGGACGAGGCCTTGCTGAAACCCATGACACTTTCTGCAGGAGCTAATGTCTTTCGGCTTTTGACCACCGATTTTTTTTTAATCATATCAAAAGAAAGAACTACCAAACATACCAGAAGATTCTTTGGTCTCCCCCTGTTCTAGGGCCAGAGAAGCATTAATTTGATTAACCCACATCTGACATGTTTGGAGATCCTTACGACCGAATGTATATGCAACCAGGACCCGAAGAGAAGGGACAGTCTTTGACCTCTGGAAACCATGCACTGTAAAGCGGTAAATCTGCATGTATGTAAACACAAAAACACATCATTATCTTATGAGGGAGTGAAAGCACACAACCAAGAACCGGAATTGAACGAACCTCAGAGTCGTGACCCGAAAGGCATTTTCTAGCATTTGAAATGTTTGATCCATGAATCAAACCATAGTGGATCAACTCGACAGCATACACATCAGAAAATTTTATCTCGGTTGCAACCTTTTATTTGATGCCCAAACAAGTTGAGTCATCCTGAGTTTGACTCAAAAATAAAAGCCAGAGATCTAATATATTTTTAATGTTTTTCTAGTTTTTCTAGTTTTTCTGTTTTTTTTTAAATTTTCCCAATTTTCTTTCTGGTTTGATCTTTGATGCCAAAAATCTAGTCATATAAAATTAAATTCATGAAAAGAAATCAAATAATAAAAGGTTTTAAAAATTGGAACTGCAAGTTGAACGGAAGGAGGTGAGGTCAATCAGATAATCAAATCGTTGACCTTCCTTCATAGAAACGACATGTCGTTATTTACAAGGAAAGGAGAGATCGTAAACTGTTTAGGTATGTCCTGCTAAGACTCATTCAACAGAAAAACAGCCACAAAGTCCTCAGATATAAAAGTCTCCTCACAAGTTCAACAAAAGTTAATCAAAAGAGGTTCTCATTTTGACGATAAGTTGAACTTCTCATCCAAGATTACACAGTTCAAAAAATAAAATTCATTCCCTACAAAAACTGTGTGGAGAAGAACATTTCAATGAAGTCAGTTGCTTTGTCAGGGCACCACAGTGTAAACCTTTACATCATCCATTTCAGGGCTTCTTACTGAGTACTGAAACGTTCATCCATGGCAAGCACCAGCATGCATACCCTTCTTATTGATGGCAAACACAGCTCCTAAAAAATCAGGGAATTTTCTCGCAATTCGTGATATTGCATCCTTCGCAGCAAGATTAGGTTCCATCCTCAATCTCATACTCTCCACAACTTGATAACTGCAGTTCAATCATTTAAAGTACATAGCTAGATTCATCAACATAAGTTTGACAAGGAATCTATTTCAACCATGGCCGCCAGCCAGAAGAAAATTAGGGACTAAATGCACAAGGGAAAGTACAAAACAAAGCATCCTTACACAACATATTCATTATATCAGATGAATGAACCTACATAGGAACTACCCAAGTAGTTTTCAATCCAAGTAAACCAGAACTAAAAATGTGATGGTTCAGATTGGCTTGCTATGTTCGTAACTAAAGCCAGCTTACAATGCTTAACAAGCCTCCTACGTACAGGTATGTTTTGTTTAAGAAGAGTATTTACTTTATGTTTAGGACAAATTGTAACCCTGGATTTACTTCAACCTGTTCTGCAGATTAGAGTTTCACCCTGACCCCATAATGATTAACGCTATGAGAATATGCAAGTCTATAGCCAATGATTCATCAATACCTTAAAGGAAAAAATTGTAGGACTTATATGACAAGTGTAAGGCTTAGATGCCATCACACATTGTAGGACTTATATGTCCTAGTTTTCTGCCAAGTGTACAGCTCAAATTGCTGACACAATTGTAAGGCTAGATTTGATTTCATTCTTTGTAAAAGGTACACTGAGAAATTGACAGAAAATGCATTTTCTAGTCTAAGTGTGAGTCCTAGGGATCAATCAAACACAGGTCAAACTGGAAGTTCAAAGTCTAAGAAGAGCTGGAAACCACAGAAATGGAAGAAATGAGATGCAAAGTCTGAGAACAATTCCAAGAAGGAAAATCAGAATGAAGGAGCAAAGGGTCCTTGCAAAACATGTGATAAGCTTCACTGTGGTGCTTGTTGGTTCAAAGGCAAGCCTAAATGCCACAAATGTGAGAGGTTCGGTCATTTGGCAAAGGACTGCAGAAGCATATAAGTAAATTAGTGTAATCTTTTTCATTTTATTTTTAATATAGTGTAATCTTTAAGAACATAGAGCTCAGGAATTAGGGGTTTTTGGCTTCTCTGTGCCACTTAGAGACAAAATTATGGCATAGAAATGATTCTCTAATGCTTAAACAATAGTAAATCCTGAAAAGAATTGTTTTTTTTTAAAAAAAACTGAAGAAAGTTTGTAAATGTGAAAACCGTCAAATAAAAATAGTGGAGATGTACCTATTGCTGTAATTGACTAATGACATAAGAAAGATAAAGCAACGCCAATTCATGAAAATATATTAAGTGTTTGGTTGAATTGAAAACATACCTTCTTCTCTCTCCACATGGACGCTTCATAGACACATGTCGGCTGCTCATACATATAGAGACCGAGGAGCAAACGCTTTTAATTTTGGACACCCATTTAATTTTACTTCCTCCAAGACCGACCACTTCAAAGTATAAGCTTCAGAGCAGAAAGATTCAAGTTCGGGTAAATTCACAAGTAAAATAGAATTCACGTGCAGAAATGTCAATTCATCCTCAATACTTTCTCCTCCTCCTTCTGCCTCTCCAACAATTTTCTCCATCGCACTACAATGCTCAACAACTAATTTCTCCACAGGCAAGTAAGAAGTTTGGCTATGTGCTGTGAAAACAAGTATATCAAATTTTCACAGTCCAATACTTGCAGTAATCTCAGGTTTCCAAAGCCTGAGATAACTTGTAAACCCTTTTCCCATATGTGGCTCATCACTGGTAATCCAATCAACGTCAATTGCCTCAGCTTATCAAATGCTTGAGTAGAAGGAGTTTCCTGAACCAAAAATATCAATTCCAATAAATTGCAATCACAAACATGGAGATTTTCTAGATTGTCGCTAGGTTTGAAGATTTGTCAGCATAACCTGCCAAAAGGGTAGCGAAGTAATTGCATAATTTGTTAGTGTTTCAGTCATATACATATGGGATATTATCACATTCTAGAAATCAAGAACGTTGTTTAAAAATGAAAAATGAAGTATTCATATAAAAAGAATAACATCATTTCGCAAGTTACCAGTATTGCCAATTTAAAACGTATATGGCCTTTTTAGGAACCCTTTATCTTCAATGATATCTATACCTAAGACCAATTTTCACAAGCTATATATGTGTATACTAGTATTGAGATGCATAGTTTAGAATAATGGTGTACCTCTCTATTTACAGGGTGGGGCAATATTTGAGTAAAGTTGAGAGTAGATGGACGACTTTGTAAGCAGACTAGTGGCGCACATCCAAATCCAGATCCAGTTGATGATGACAATGATGATGCACCACCTGATTCTTCTCTACTTGTAACATCCCACGTCGACGAACGGAGATGGGGTGATGTGCCTTATATGTACATGCTCGCCTCCATCTAGCACAAGGTCTTTTGAAAGCTCACTGGCTTCGGAGTCATGAGAACTCCGAAGTTAAGTGAGTTTGGGCTAGAGTAATCTCAGGATAGGTGACCCACTGGGAAGTTGCTCATGAGTTCCCAGAAACAAAACTGTGAGGGTAGAGAAGGGGGCTCAAAGCGGACAATATCGTGCTACGGCGGAGCCGATCCCAGAATGTGACACTACCTCTTACACGATCATCACTCAAATTCTCTGCAACTGCTGCAGGCAGCTTTTTGCTTAGTGGTGCAAAACCCAATGTCTTTAATTTGGGACACAAAACCACCCACAAAGTTCTCGTGGGGGAAGGCCATGCAAAAGAATAGGCATCAGGGCAAAATCTCTCGAGGTTCGGCATGTCAATTAGTTCGAACCAATTGAGTAGTTTGGGAAACAAAGTCATCGTGCCACTGTCACCTGTCTCTTTCCCTTCTTCATGGATATTGTCCTCTGTGGAAGCAGCTGCCAGTACTATAGTTTCAATATTCTTACAATTCATTGTCATGACTTCTTGGAGATTCACAAGGAGCTTGTAAATTTCATAGGGGCATAGATATTTTAAACTGTCCCAATTGTCAATTCTTAAATCTCTTACATTTTGAAACCCCTGGAATCCAGGTTGAACGTTCTTCCAAAAATATTCAACCTCATATAAACACTTCACATCCAATGTTTCTAATTGAGAAAATGCTGAGGCATGCCCTTCTAAATCAAATACTGCACTGACTACTGGTTCATCGTTTTCTTCTGACCCTTGTCTACTAGTCAAAGAGGCCACTACTAGTTCCTCTGGTTCACTGTTTTCTTCTAACCCGCTTGACTCCATTGTGAAAGTGTAACTGTCCACTATTAGTTCCCTTAGATTTGGTAGCCATGAAATGCAATTTGAAGGAAATAGTGCATTACAACTTACTCCCACTTGTGGTACTTTTGATTTAGATGAGGACCCAGCAACTTGATCATGTTGTTGGTCATTCCTAGTCACTTTCATCTTGTCCAAATGAGAGGCGTTCACACTTTCACCATTGGGCTTTATGACCTGTACAATAATTAATTCTAGATATTTAATGAACTTATACATGAGCATAAAAGAAATACAAACAATAAATTTAGTGTTTCAAGAAAGTACTAAAATTACAATAATTTAATTGAATGGTCAAATGATATCGGATTCAAGTGATTTTTTTCAGAGATAATTTTTTATTGCATATCTATAAAATAGACTATTTAGATTAGTGAAATACAATGTAAGGTCCACCACGCATTGTATTTCAATAATCTGAGCAATCTAGATTTTAGATATTCCCTAAAAGATCATTTTCCGCAAAAAAAAAAAATTAAATCCAAAACCATTTGACCACTCAATTAGATGATTGTTAATTTGTTATTATTGTCTTTTCTTGAAGCACCGTTTTCGTTTATGTTGTTGGTCCCAATTAGATGCCTTAATGATAGGGATGACAACGGGCCAGGTATGGTCTGGGTTTGCCAATACCATCCCTGACCCCGATTCCAAAACCCTCCCCTGTCCCCACCCCCATCCCCGATTAATCGGGTTTGCCAATACCATTCCTGAAGAATCTTTGAATGTTTGTGTGGGAGATTCACATAGGTCGTTCTATTTTGGGCAATCTTTTAAGATTTGTCAAGCATGATACAATTTGAAATGCCTATTTGGGGGTTTATTATCATTCAAGAAAAGTGTTTTTGCATCATATCCTACCCATGAAATAAAATAAAATCAAGTTAATTGAAAAAATTTAGAACTATAAATTTATGCATTGAATAAAATGGGTACATTTTCAAGATTGAAGCCATTCACATGCCTTGCATTGGCCTTTGTCATACATGCCTTCCATAGAGAACATTGTTGGTTGATGATCTTGAACCGAGAAGCAATAGCTTGCGGTGATTGTGCCCTGGCTCAGCTCATGCCCGGATCATTTTCCAAAAACTTTTGGTCATTTGATTGATTGGTGCCAATAGCTCCATCTTCAGAAATAGAAACCCACCCTTTGCACAATGCCTCATCTTCTTGTGGTTTCCAATTCACACCTCTTTGTGGTTTTGGGGCCATTTTCAACAAGAATGAAAGTATAATGAAAAAATATAACAAAGGGAAAAAGGAAAAAAAATGATTTTTAGTGGATTATTTACCAAATGAATGGCTATTTATAGAATTTGGAATAAGTTTTGGGGTTGGATTTGATTTAGATTAATTATAAATATTATTTTGATCATTGGATTTAAATTTAAGCCATTGGATGTGAAATTTTACTGTTCAGATTGCCTAAAATTAATATTGATCATTAATTTGGATATAGCCGTTGCATAAAAAATAAAAAATAAAACCCAGCTTTTGAAATTTAGCCGTTGGATTCCAACGAATCTCTTCACTGAAGCTGCCAGCTGTCGCACAAAAAAGCAGCTGGCCAGAATACATCAGTTGTAGAAGAATTTCGGACTCAAAACTGAAAATTTCGGTTTCCACCCAATAGTAGAAGATGGTCTAATATCCTGAATAAGCAGCCTGGTTTACACACAGCATTATACGCTTAGAATCACCTTTAATCATTCCTATTCGCCAATCTTTATGAATAGCGTCGGCCAAACCATCTCAAAAAGCAAGGCACTCGAACACAATGATAGTAACTTCTCCAATAAGCGCTAGTACCTTTTTTTGGGTCAAGGCGCTATTGCCTTCAACCATTACTTTTTGCCAACCTACGGGCAATTGCCTGCCACCAGCGCTAATGCTCCTTTAAAGGAGTTGCCTGCATTTTTTTTTAACGAGTTGCCTACATTTACAGTACATAGAAGAAGCAGAAAACTCCGAAAAAGAAAAAGTAGAAAACTGATCAATGAAGTGTCTAGTCTAGTGTCGTTTTCAACTCATTCACTACTTGCTTGTTCACACTTTATTCAGGTACCATATCTCATCTTTTCCTTTCAATTTCTTCAAGTTGGCCCGAAGTTGGGCCAATGAATATTTTCGGTAAAGCCTAAACTTAAGGTAAGTCAATCCTTTTTTTAGGGTACTATCGAAACACATCCGAGAAGAGGGGATAGGGTCTGTATATTGTCATGAATATTGTCTTTTGAATTTTTTTTTTTTTTTTTTTTGGTTAGGGTCACTAAGGAGGGGTAGGAGGATAATATTTGGGTGGTTTTCACAAGGTGTTAACAGTGTGGTTCGAATCCATGCATTTCATGAGAGAAACTTTCATGTAACGAGGATCACAAAATAATGATATCCTGTTACAAGTAGTTTTTCTGGTTGGGGGAAGGGGAAGACCACACCACTGTGATAAACTCCCATTGACAATTTCGATTGATTTGCCATGGGTTTTATGTTTATGATAATACACTTTCATGTTTTAAAAAAAACTACAAATTTTTCAAGGAAAGAGCAAAAAGAAAGGTCCTTTTTTTGCCAATAAAAAGAAAAGGTTCCACTCTGCATCCGAGTTCGAATCTCCATTTTCGTGATTTAGATTAGTTTAAAGTAAATTATTACTTGTATAAAAATAAAAATAAAAGATAGACTATTCTTTTTTCTTTTCTTTTTGTCATTCACTAAGGAGGGGGAAGAAGAGTATCATATTGGGTTGCCTCAAATTTAAGAGTAGTTTTTAATTGAGGAAACGTTTTTTGTAGGGCCTCTCCTATTGAAATGGATGATATTCACCTAAACTCACACACATGGTAGGACTCGAATCCAAAACCATTTATGGAGAAACTTGGCTCCAATTTTATTAAACCAGTGGATTCTTAGCAACTAAGGAAATTTTATCAAGTTTGAGAGGACCGAAATGTATATGTCTGTGTAGTACTAGTGTTTCTTTCTTCTGAATTATAAAGTAATAAAGAAAAGGAGAGGAAAGAGAAAAAAGAAAGGTTTTTTATTCCTTTTTTACCAATAAAAAGGAAAGGTTCTTCTTTCTCGGTGGAGGACAAATTCGAGGGACATAGGTGTCTTATGTTAAATTGGTTTTGTCTCAATTTGTCTTTATGAAAATGTGGACTACCGGTTTAGGGGAGAGGTATAATTTGAGGGCTTGTGCTTCCCTGACATTTGTAAATTGATAGGTAACAACGTAAAACCCTCAATATTTTCCATCAATGGCAACCGCCAACTCCGACTCCAACTCCAACACCACAAGTGTGAGCATGAAGCTACTGGTGGACTCAACTCGTGGCAAAGTTTTGTTTGCAGAAGCGAGCAAGGATGTCGTTGATTTTCTCTTCACTCTCCTGTCTCTTCCTGTAGGGACAGTGATTAGGCTCCTCTCCAAAGACGGCATGGTTGGTAGCTTGGGAAAGCTTTATGAGAGTGTTGAAAATCTCGATGACACATACTTGCAACCAAATCTCAACAAGGACATGTTGCTGGAACCAAAGGCAACAGTTGCTGGTGCCAATATCCTTCCTTTGCTGACCAACAACAACGTTGACTCGAAAGCTAAAAAACTCTACATGTGTCAATATTGCAGTAGCCGCCGTATTTCCGATGTGTCTGGAACCCCTTGCCCAGGTTGCGACGATTCCATGTACTCTGAGGTGACTTATGTTTCTCCAGCAGCACCTGCTACCGTGGCAAGACCCAGCGAGGGAGGGTATGTCAAGGGAGTAGTGACATACATGGTCATGGATGACTTGGAGGTGAAGCCAATGTCCACCATTTCAAGCATAGCTATGCTGAACAAGTTCAATGTGAAGGAGGTTGGTGCTCTTGAAGAGAAAGTGGTTAATCTTGGCATGGAAGAGGTTTGAATTATTCCTAACTTATTTCCCATTTTTCTACACGCTTTTGACTTCTTAATTTCAGGCCAACTTGCAAGTTGCATCCCCCTTTTTAAGTTATAGTAGATTTTTTTATTTTGAAGCTTATTATTTGACATTGTATGTTTTATATACATATTTTTCTGTTGTTAGGGTTTGAAGCTGCTGAAGGCATCGTTGGAGACCAGTACAGTTCTTACAAAAGTGTTCCTGGGTAATAAGAAGGCATAAAACGTTTCTGCATTGTGAACTCACCAGTTTCGTACTTCTATATGATGTCATTTTGGAGCTTATGTTATTCGGGATTTAAGGATATGTAATAATAAGCTTTTTTAATGTCGGTTTGTTTGTTTGTTTGTTTGTTTTTCAAACGATTTATGTTTTCTTCTGTCTATTTCAATTAAGAAACTGTTTGCTTTAATTTTAATTAATTTGCTAGCGCATGCACGCCTATACCCCAAGCTTCGAGAAATGATATTCTGCAACATTTATTAGTAAATGATGGGATGAATCCATGGATATTGCTTTTCTAATGGAAGTTAATAAAAACAGAGCACCCACTTACCGATCACATATTTTCATCTTCTCCACTCCAAAACACCCTACTCTGCACCTAAAGTTGCACTTCCTTCCTTGTAACTCTATCAAAAACCCAAGACACCAATTGGTGGTGCGCTAATGTTCCTGATCATCTGTTGAACAATGATGAATCATTGGCTACCGGTGGTCGAGACGACCCTAGAGCCGTTTGCTCCGAGTGCAACTATACTCTCTCCACAGAGGTGCCTTATGTCGCGGCACAGGCTACCGCGGAAGGATCGTCTGGTGTGGTGGTGAAGGAAGCCTATGTCTACCATATCGTGCATTATTGGGGGAGCATGTGAATTTTCAATTTCTTCTCTTAATTGATTCAAATTGGGGAGCATGTGATAGATTAATGTATATGTTTCGATTTCTACTCTACACACTCGATCGACAGACGATAACCATCATGGATCATTCTGTAGGCTCTACTTTGCCACAGTTCCTTTCTTTTTTGTTTTGGTTGGAGGTGGTGTTGTTATTCAAAATGATCATTTTCTTTCCATTAGTTCTTAGGGTCTGAAATTGTTGAAGGCATCATTGGAATCCAATGCAGTTGAAATTGCAAGTTGTGTGGCTCCAAGATGTTTTTGAGACTCGTGTATTACACTCTTTTGCTGTTGAATGAATCACTTTCTTCATTTTTGCATCTTCCGTTAAAAAAGAAGAAGTTTGTACGAGTTACTCATGCTTGCTGCGTATGCTTTGGCAAGCATGAGTAACTCGTACTCCGATACAATCATTTGGTTCATCAATCTTCATCTCTCGATACAAAAAGGTATTTAAGAATTCCGAAGGAATTTGATGTATATTGATCCGGTCAACTAGTCTAATTCACATATTCTGTATATATAAAATAAATAATGACATACGCTAACATGTATACTATAGCATACTAGTACTAACTGAAATTACAATACAAAGTGACCGCAATAATTTTGAACTACAATAACCAAACACTTCACTTGTGTAAAAGGAGGGGGATTTTAGTCAAATTTTCAGCACACATTAAAATTCAATTTAAATTATAAAAGAGGAAAATTTATTTAACAAAATAAAAAAGATTAAAATCAAATATTTTAAGTTAAAAAAATAAAATAACTCACAAAAAATAGAAAAAATCACGTATTGGGCAGTCAACACCATATCCATTTCGTTTATTTTATTTCTTTTGGGCCCAAAATGAGGCCCAAGAATTATGTTTTCAGTAAAACTCAAGGCCCGTAGCGAAGCAAGGGCATTGTTAGTAATAAAAAACAGAGTAGCTATATAAGGAGCTCAGATTCGTCTTCTCCACTCGAAAACCCTACACTTCGGCCGCAGCTGCTCCTCATCTACAGGTACTTCTTCAAGACTTCATCTTCGGCGCTATCTAGGACTCTTAGTACAGTTTTCTAAGCAATTTCATTGATGAAGTGAATTTCTTAAGCTGAATTAGCTTTGTATTTGGGCTGTGATTTAGCCTCTTTTTGTGTTTAATATTTTTACGATTTATCGCTTTGGTTATGCGTTTGAGATTTGTCTGCCTTCGTGCCTTTTTCTAATATCCGTATTGATTAAGTTTGTCCTTTTTTCTGTTTGCGTAATGCTTGTCAGGTAGGTTTGTTTCTCGTTGAGCTCAGAGCAATGGCTCCTGCTAAAGGTACCTCCTTTCTCATAGAACTGATATATTTTGTGTAATGCCCAGAAAAGTGAAAAAAATGAATTAGTGGGTTTCAATAGCTGTATTTGATGTAGGCGATTACTCTGTGAAAAATCATTTTTTATGCCACTAAATCTCATTTCACTGCCTCTACGTTTCGTCGTTGTATGCGTGTTTAGAGTAAGATTTGCAAGCCAGTGGCCGAATCAAATGGCATGTTATGTTATTTTCTATCTATTCGGTGAACTTTCATTTCGTTTTCAGTTACTGCTTTTGAAATGGTTATGTTTTTATTTTTTTAGTGGGATATTGAGTAAGTTTGCATGATTATTTGTTTTGGGAAACCTGCGGGATAGGATTTATTCATTCACCTTTTAATTTTGCTTTGGGTTACTGGGATAAGAATATAATTTTCATATTTTTCTTTAAGTGGTAGTTTCAGTCCAGGAACAACCGAGTTCCAGGCACGTAATTTATCCACCTAAATTGTTATTTGTTTGCCTCTTGCAGCTGACAGCACGAAGAAGAGTGATCCAAAGGCCCAAGCCTTGAAGACTGCCAAGGCTGTGAAATCCGGCCCTACTTTCAAGAAGAAGGCCAAGAAGATCAGGACATCAGTCACATTTCATAGGCCAAGGACATTGAAGAAGGAAAGGAACCCTAAGTATCCCCGCATTAGTGCACCACCAAGAAACAAGTTGGACCATTATCAAATTCTCAAGTATCCATTGACTACTGAGTCTGCAATGAAGAAGATTGAGGACAACAACACACTTGTTTTCATTGTTGACATCCGAGCTGATAAGAAGAAGATTAAAGATGCAGTTAAGAAGATGTACGACATTCAGACCAAGAAAGTGAACACCTTGATCAGGTATATGTTATTAATTTATACTCGTTTTAGCAGCGCTGAGGTTTCATTGCTGGCATGCTGATCAATGTTTCATGAAACTTAATCTAACCTGCAACTTATGTTGTGCAGGCCCGATGGAACGAAGAAGGCATACGTTAGGTTGACACCAGACTATGATGCCTTGGATGTGGCCAACAAGATTGGGATCATCTAAATTAATGTTGTATTGTCTTTTTATTTTGAAGCCAAGTGATTTCCGTTCTTGCTATGACAGTTTTGTTAGTATTGCGCTATGTTAGTACTCCTGGAGTAGTTTGGTTTTCTTCAATTTGTATTTGATGCTATATTCATCGTTTCCTTTTTCTTATGGCAATGGGATGCGATTAAAATTTAGTTCGGTGTTAATGCCTTAATATACACCGTCTTTTATCATGTTTTGAATTTTGTTTTAAACATAAGCAACCATTTATTTATGTTGGATCATTGTGCTGTTGACGAATTCTACCTTGAAAATTTTGCGGTTTGGTATTTCTTTTGGTAAAGTATTGTGCCCTCGATATAAATTATTTTCAATTAACATCTGTCTGAAAGGATACAGTTGAATGAAAAATGCTGTGAGGGCATCTGATGTGAATGCTGGTTAGGCAAAAATATATTTCATATATCAATGACCATATAATATATTTATCCAGAAGAAAAATGCTTCTCCCCCTCTCCCACCCTCTCAAAAATACGAAATGAAAAGAAAGAAATGAAGAAAAAAGAGAAGAACACAAAAGAAAAATGTTGATGAGCATAATGGTATTTGCTAATTGCAACCAAATGTGAGCCGTTCCTAATCAGATTTGGAAGCCATGAAACCCCATATCAGACTTTGAAGATTTTGAAAGAATCAACGACGGTGTGTAATTTGTCTTTCATCTTACCCCACCTCCTCTCATTGGCCCCAGTGGTCAAAGTGAAGAACTTGCCTGCAAACCAGAAACAAAACTTTACACTAAGATGCTGACCTACAAAACTATCTATATCTAAGCTGTGATTCAGGCTTGGTGAAAAATGATGTAGCAAATGCCAAGCCTGCTGAGAAATTGAATGAAGCAGAATAGAAGCCTTAAACGGGATGCATTTCCCAGTTTCATACCATTGCCAATAGATATCGTGCTGAGAGCATGGCGAGTATAGTTTGGAGCCTTCGCAACGAACTCGAAAGTGTAATATGTTTTCCCATCAATTTCATGCTGCACCAGAGATACAAAAGCAATTAATCAGCATTCAATTAGGCCATATAATAAGGTAGCTACTGCATCTGCCACACTGTTTTATGCAACCTCCTGATCAACAAAAGGTTTGCAGCATTTCCAAACAGAAGCGCATTGATTTCCATATTTTCACTTCTATCACAAATTTGCCATATGTAACTACATATTTCAGGAGATTTCATTGTTTGTAACCAGCTGATTGCTTCCCCTTCATGAAAGCACAAAAAAGTTGAACACATTTTGGTAATATCAAGCAAAAACAAATCAGAGAACAAACCTCTACTGCCTCAATCAGTTTTGTTTTCTGGGTAGGAGGAGCCAGAACCTTCTTGATTAAAGTTTCAGCCACCTGAGATCATTAAGTAAATGAGTATGGTAACTTACTAGTCTTTCATCCACCAATGTAAGGAAGGGCTGAGCAAAATGTAAACAGAAATTGATTTCAAGCTCTGGGATTCTGGTTAATGTTAGACACAACAAACTAGTGGCAAAGATCATGAGCTAACCTGTTGCGGGGACCCGAATTCCTTAATGTCTCGCTTGACGGTTGGGAAGACATTCACACTTACAGTCTCTAATGGCTCAATGACATCCTTGAAGACCTTGTCTTGACCTTCAACTGTTACTTCCTGTGCTCTCCCCAGAACGGAAAAAAAAAACCCATTAAAGAACTGGGCATAATTTTAAATGTCTACCACCTCAATGATCAATTACATAAGCCAGAGGTAGATAAAACCCAGAAACTCTCACCTGCCACCCAAAGGGATAAACAAATTCGTACCCGTCTGTCTTGTCCGTGACTGGCAGAAATCCCTTTTTATTTTCTGCAGCAACTGAGCCATATCAAAGGTGTTCTTTTAGGTTATCAGTCATCATTAATCAAGGAAGGCAACGCACTGCACAGAATGGGCATTGTTGCTAGTACATGAACACTATCTAGTATTTAGCATGGAATCTAGAAAACCTGGTACAACAAAGCTAAACTTGAAAGGACAAAGTACAGAACAATTGAAGTTGTTAAAATTCCTTACATGACACAGAATGTTGATTAGTTAGAAAAACCCAAGAGGCAATTGTCCCTGCAGCTAGTACTTGGCGTCTCCTAGATCTATCTGCCAAAGATAAACACAAACTTAGGTGGAAATTCAAAAACAAAAATTATGGGTACCCAATGTCATCAATCAATCAATATAATACAAAAGCCAAAAGTTGTGCCTAAAACTGCCAAAGATTATTACTTCTACCATGAATGAGTGATTACAATTTACAAAGGGCAATAATATTAATATGTAACAGCAATGCAGATTAAATTCCACAAATATGGGTATAAAGCAAGAAGGACCTTGAGAAGGAGAGCATGTTGAAGATGCTGGAGTTTGCTCTGCTCTTACCAAGAACGAATTGCTTCTTCTACAGCAATGGAATGTGCTTTGCTTATGCAACTGATGCCATAAAACCCAAAAAAATATTACCCAAGTGAAAAAGAAACAAAATTTAAACACAAACACTCATTGAATTCATAGAGCTACAATGGAAAACAAGAGAGAGAGAGAGAGAGAGAGAGAGAGAGAGAGAGAGAGGGATTTGAGAACCTTAGTGAAAGAGTTGAGCACAAGGGTCCTGTGGAGGGGAGGTGAGTTCTGCAGGGTCGCCATTGCAAGTGGTTTTTTTGGGAGTTTGTGAATTTTGTGAGTGAAGCAGGAACAACAGTGGACTCAGTGTGTGTGTGGAGATCACCTTATCTATTTCCTTCTCTGTTTGGACGACTCATCTGTTATACTCGTTGAGCCACCTGTACTGGCTGTTGTTCGTTAAGACCTTTTGTTTGCCACATCAGAAAATAAAAGAGAGAAGATAAAAAATTACTATTAAAACTTAAAAATAGGCTCCTCTAGTAATGTTTTTGGATAATGTTTTTTTGATAATATTTTCAGAGAATGAAAATGAAAAAATAAAATTGCATTTTCAGGATTTGAGAATGCATCTGGTGGATTAATTAGAAAACATATTTAGAAAATAAAAACAATAAAAACATGTCTGCTACTACAATTTGATAATAATAATATGTGAGCTATATTTCAAAAGCATTTTTGTTAATGTCTTATAAAAAAAAAACTATAACACAATTTTATGTATAAAAAAAAAAAGAATTATCTTTAAAAAAACTAATAAGAAACAACTTCAATCCCACTCTTTTTTTTTTGGTGAACCAAAGTGTGCTACCACTTCGAGTTGGGACTATTTACTGTAAAGCTCTCCCCAAGGGGTGTTCTTCACACACTGGGTTTCAAACTTCGTTCGCCCAACTAGGGGTGGGCACGGTTCAGTTTGGACCGGGTTTTGCCTCAAATTGGAATCGAATCAAATACTATTTATTCGGTTCGATTTTAACAAAAAAATTTATAAAATTGTTTGGTTTGAGTTGAATTGGTTTTGGTTTAGTTCCGGTCTAGTTCGATTTTGAACTGGATTATTATTATTATTTTCTCAAATTATTTTTTATACAAATTTCAACTGAAATTTTATTTTATTTTTTGTTCGAAAATTAACAAATTATTCAATTTCATACAACAAGAAATATTAAGGCTAGGAAAGATAGATGTTTTGAAATTGAACTTGGGTAAATATTAGTTATGAGATTAAAAATATAGCATTGGATATAAATAAATATTAAAATTATATATTTTTTAATTCGATTGGTTTGGTTATGCCCGATTCGGTTTGTTGGGGTATAGAATCAGAACAGGATTCGGTTAGAACTGGTTCGGTTTGGTTTTTTGAATTGAGTTTGACTTTTTGATCAACACGATTTTTTTCAATTTTTTCTGGTCAGATTTAATTCAGTTGATTGGTTTTTCGGTTTCGATGCCCATCCAATTCCCAACTGCAGAAACTAGTCTATATCCGCTAGACCAAACCCCTTGGCTAAAGGGAAACCTCACTCTTAAACAAAGGAAAGGTTGATAAAATAAATAAATAAGGTAACGAACAAATACACCACATCTCTCTCTTTCTCTCTCTCCATTTTCTGTTAACTAAACACCTCAGAGAACTTTGAGATCTCAATAAACAACCTCTTGTTTTTATTATCCCTCATTATCAAAGTTTTAAGGTCATATTCTCCTAGCAGCAAAAATCAGGTAGATGGGTTTTGTGCTTGTTCAATTGGATTGATAGTGCTGGTTTGATTGGGTGGTGATGGTGCTTCTATTGGGTATGGGTGGTGGAGGTGCTGGTGCCGATTGTTTTTACTAGGTGGCGATCATGTGTATTGGGTTGGATTGGGTGTTTGGTGGTGATTCAATTGGGATGGTGGTGGTGGTGTTGTCGACTGGGTTTGATAGGTGGTGGTGATGTGGGGACTGGGTCTGTGAGGTTTGGTGGCAGTGGCAGGAGCAGTGGCGCGGTGTCGGTGGTTGGTTTGATGGTGGACGTTCGGTGGTTGAGGTTTGATTATGGCGGTGACAATTATTTTTCGATTCTATTTTGCTTTTGGAAATGTTGAATCTGCATTCTCTAAAAACGCTGGAAACGTCAAAATGAAGTTGTTTCCTGTGTTTTCAGACTTCCCCACCGAACGCATATTCCACCCGTTTTTGCACTAAGAAAATGAAAAGAGACTCTAAAAACGCCACCGAATGGGCCTTTTACCTAGAAACAAAAACCCAATTAACTTTAACCATTTTTTTAATACAAGTAATATTGGAGTAGGAAGAATCTATCATAGGATTTCGGATATAAACTAAATGCTCTTTTTTCATGATGTATGTGAGAAGTTTACTAATGATATTGTTGTCACAAGATTTGTATAAAATTCAAACCTTTTGATAACATATTGTTGGTTTTCAAAATTTCCATTATCTATTTCTTTAAAACTAAGGTATGATGTGAGGAATTTAGCAGATCCTCTTCGTAATTTTATTTCTTAATTTAAAATTATTAAAAAAAAACAGTTGTTAGTCTCAGATTCATATCCCAGTGTTTATTATTGATGTTCCAAATACATATAATTAGTTATCAAGTCAATCATGTTAATTCAGATCTATTATCAACTAATCGTGTTGATGAAGTTCAATGATAATAATCAAAAGGAATTATGCAGGATGATTTTTTTTTTCTTTCTATAATATGTGTTTCTTAGAATGCAATAAACATAAAAACTTTGCTTTCATCATGATTGCGCAGCATAATGCTAAGCTAACACAATTGAATTGAATTCTACATTATATCAACCAAAAAGCAAATTACATGGTAATAAAAATGCTTTTAAGAAAAGTTGGTTTGATTTTTTAACTACTTAAGACTTTGCTGCCGGATTATTGTTGATTAATTACAGATGCAAGCTCAACATCAAATCAAGGTGACACAAGCAACTTAAAATTAACATAATGAAGTGGTTCCCATCTTTTTCGATGAATATAAAGATGAGTAGGAAGAAAGTAAAAGCTTCAAATGTTAAGATAATTCAACAATTGTCGTTCGTAATATTTGAAAACCCAAACACCGCAAGACCAAACAATAATTACAAATTGAACATAACTTGTATGAATTGTCGAAAATTATTATCGAACGTAACTTCAACAAAACTTGGAAACAAAGCAACAAACTTTCTCATAGGTTATGCGAAAACATAGGCATTATCTTAGAATTTTGAATTCGCAACAATTTCCAAAGTGTGTGACAATATAACACATTAAGATATGTCCCTCAACAATATTTTTTTTTCTTTCAATGGGGAAGGAAAAGGGAGAACACCTTGGCAACATTACTCCAATAAAGAAATGGTACCTACCAACCCAAAAGGCAAAATGAAAAAGAATGAGAGGGAACAGAGCAAATGCACTGGCACCAAAAGAAAAGAAAAAGAATGCTCATCCCTTTCTCCTTCGCAATCATATCTCTCTTTTTGCTCCTCCTCCTCCTCCTCCTACACTCTTACTCACACACATGACACCTCATAGACTCCCAAAAAAAATTATTTAAAGAATTCCATTTAAATATAAGCGAAAAGCCAACTAACCTCTCCGCCCATATCACCGAAATCCACACGTGTCACCCTCCCCCCTCCCACCCTCCTGGGCTCCGACGTAATTTCACCAGACCTCACACAGCTGTTCACACATTTACCAACACAATCATTCCCCGCCAAATTACCAAACTACCCCCAAAAAACATGACCCAGGTGCAAATCCCTCCAAAACGCATATCTTCATCGCCGGCGTTTGACCGTTAACCAAAACAGAAATACGAAGAAGAACGATGTTTTCGTTTTCATTTTCATTTTCGTATATTTGAAATTTTATTTTATTTTTTGGGTATGTGACAGTGGGTGTGCGTGGAGTCAATATTGCTTCGGCTTCTTCCTTGTTTGTCTTTCTCCGCCTTGTTTGACCGAGTCGCCAGCCCATCGACGACTCGTTGTTTTTCGTCTTCTTCGTCTCCTCTCTTCTGCTGCTTTTCGAAAAAGCAAAAAACAGCAGAAAATCACAGAGAAACCGAAACATCAAAACATCAAAATCTCCTCTAAATTTAGCACAGATCCCGCTAAATTTAGAGGGAGCGAGAAAAATACGTACAATTAGGTTTAGGGTTTTTGGGACAGAGGGAGCTGTAGGAGGAGGACAGGGAGCGAGCTAGGGACACAGCGGTAATTTCTCCACCGCCAAGATGATGATCTCTCGGGGGCTGTTCGGGTGGTCGCCCCCGCACATGCAGCCCTTGACGCCGGTCTCCGAGGTGTCCGAGCCGCCCGAGTCGCCGTCGCCGTACATGGACCAGAGTGTCGACGCGTCAGCCCAGCCGATGGAGCAGGAGGAGGAGATGGAGGAGCCGGAGGAGATCGAGCCGCCGCCGGCCGCCGTGCCCTTCTCGCGGCTCTTCACCTGCGCGGACCGCCTCGATTGGGTTCTCATGACCGTTGGATCGCTCGCCGCCGCGGCTCACGGGACGGCTCTCGTGGTGTACTTGCACTACTTCGCGAAGATAATTCAGATACTCTGGATGGACAAAAACCAGCCAGGCGGCCCGCCGCCGCAGCCTGGTATTAGCGAGGTGCAGTTCCAGAAGTTTATGGATGTGAGTTATTTTGATTTATCGAAACCCTAGCACATGTTTTTTCCGTTTGTTTGATGACAAAAAGGATTGAAATTGTGCTATTAAGTGAGTCTTCGTTTAAATTGAGCTGGAAACCGATGGTTTAAGTGTGGAACATATAGTATTCGAATTTCCTTTTGTAGGTATTTTTTTCTTTTTGTTTTTTTGGTTAGCCTGAGCTGCTTTAAGAAGTTTGGGATGCAGTATTCCCAATTAATCGTTTGAGATTTTGTAGTAGCTTTAGTACTAGGGATAGAAATTTCTGTTTGCTGCTTGACTTTCCATGCGTAGATTTGAATCCTCTTGTTTGATGAAGGAAGATGGTTGTTTAATAGTAATGTTGAAATCATCTAAAAGAAAGGGAAGATCACATATGAGGGGCATAGGCTTATTCATTACTTGTTTTACCACTGACAGATGTTCATAAGCAAGTGTTACTATGGTATGTTTGAACTGTTGCTTGCTTTCTTGGGGTATATTTGTTTTGCCACTGATTCATTTCCCAATCTATTGACACACTGAAATACTGAGAATAGTTTGATGCACAAAAAACATATATTTTTGTCTTTGGGGGTGTGGTGCTAATATTTTTCGCCTATCAACTTTATATGATTATGAGAGAGATATAGCATGTCATTTATCTATTATGAGGCACGAAATGTTTCAAGAATCTCCTAGTGGATGTATATAAAAGATATATATAAGTTTAAAGGTAATTCTAACTAAAGTTTTGTCCGAAAACCTTGGTTCAGAAGTTTTTGCGTTATAGAAAAATGTGTGTTAGTTGAAATAATTTATAAGAATACACAGCAAAAAGAATCTATTGATTAACAGGCGGCTTCTGAATTGTATTCAGACTTAAATTATCTTTTTCTGTTTTTCTCCTTGGACTTCTATAGTAACCAAGAGTCTTCGTTGTCTTTCTGCACATTTTTGTATTCTTTATTATACCATCTTCTCAATGAGTATCAATGTATGAAATGGAAGTTGAAGGAACGAGCACATATTCAATAACTGGTTTATTGTCTGCTTGCAGCTTGCTTTGTCCATCATTTATATTGCCACTGGCGTTTTTGCTGCTGGGTGGATTGGTAAGATTGATTTTTCATTAGAAGAATTAGTCATCACTGCATTTCTTTCATCACAGAATACGCTTCTTTGCTTTTATACTAACTTTTTTCTATGTAATAGAGGTCTCATGCTGGATTCTGACGGGAGAAAGGCAGACTGCTGTCATCAGGTCAAATTATGTTCAAGTATTACTTAATCAGGATATGAGTTTTTTTGATACCTACGGAAACAACGGGGACATTGTGAGCCAAGTATTGAGTGATGTGCTGCTTATTCAGTCTGCTCTTAGTGAAAAAGTATGCCTAAAGCTAATATATCATCTCTTTCCCTGCCCCCCCTTTCAAGCACACATTTTTTTTCTTCCTGACAAACTTCTTCCGTATGTGATCTCTCGGTGCATGTGTCTTGCCTAATATTTTTATTGCACTGTGATAATGCAGGTTGGGAACTATATTCATAACATGGCTACATTTTTCAGTGGTCTCATTATTGGATTCATCAACTGTTGGCAGATTGCGGCAATAACATTGGCCACTGGCCCATTTATTGTTGCTGCTGGAGGAATATCAAACATATTTCTCCATAGGCTTGCTGAGAATATTCAAGATGCATATGCTGAAGCAGCTAGCATTGCAGAACAGGTTTATTATTTAATATAATGAATTTCCATCTTACCTAACCACGGACTCAAATAGAATTATTTCTTTGCCTCTTTTTTGGGGCCGTATCATCATATTTATTGCAAATAGTGTCACAAATTGCGTTTTTTAGTATCACATCTTTGAAATGTCTGGTTGATAGATCGATTATACTGATAGTCTTGGATATGTAATGGTCGTTTTTCATATAATGAATTTACATCTTACCTAAACAAGGAATCAAATAGAATTCTTTTTGCCTATTTTTTGGGGTCATATTATCATTTGTGTTGCAAATAGTGTTACAAATTTCCTTTTTAGTATGGCGTTGATAGATCACTTATACTGATAGTCTTGGATATGTAATGGTTGTCATTTTGGCAAAGTGGTTAAGGGCATTGTTTCATAAATTTCCATACTTCTTGATTATGCAGGCAGTCTCTTACATTAGGACGTTATATGCATTTACAAACGAAACATTAGCCAAGTATTCATATGCAACATCACTGCAAGCAACTCTCAGATATGGCATATTGATAAGCCTTGTGCAAGGACTTGGACTTGGATTTACTTATGGTCTTGCCATTTGTTCTTGTGCCTTGCAATTGTGGGTTGGAAGGTTCCTGGTTTCGCAAGGGAAAGCTCATGGTGGTGAAATTATAACAGCCCTTTTTGCTGTAATATTAAGTGGCCTGTAAGCATCTTGTTTATGTTTAAAAATATATATATATATAAATATTATCTTTTCTCTAGGAACATATGCCTATTGTTTATTCCTATCTACTTTTGTGTTATTTGTCTTC